GGATAACAGCAGACTGACTGCTCGTAAAATATATACGACAGGTCTGGACCACTCGTGAATTTTGTTCGTATCTGAAAAAAATCKTAGAATATGAAAACATTGGTGAATGCCACAAATTCTCCTAAATCACTCGTACGCACAACTTAAGAACAAATCTTTTCGCATGAACGGTTCTAACATGAGGCCCAATGTTCCTCAATGGAAAACCGGCAACACTTTTGTCATTCCATCACTCACATAATATTGTCAAAAGATTTCAAGAATCTGTAGAAATCTCTTGAGGGATATTTTCTGTAAGTACAGGACACTGTGCTATTCACAAATACTGGTTAAAGCTCTATCATGCAAAGATATGTGAATACCATCCAAAAATACTGCTGACAAAAATGTAAAAAATGTTCTGTGGATGAATGAAAATTTAAAGAGAGACTACCTGACATGTAATCAGTCCACAGTTCAAAAGACTGCCTCTCTGATGGCATGGGGGTGCATTAGAGCCTCTGGCAGCTTACACCCCTAGAAAGGCACTATCAATGCAGAAAAGTACATCCAGATTGCAAAAAATATATGTATATATGTCTCCTATCTACATGTCTTTTTTATGGAATGTCTTTTATATTTTAACATGACAATGCCAAACTGCTGCTGCATCCATTACAATAGCATGGCTTCATGTTGGAAGTGTTTGGGTTTTAGTGCCTCGTGCAACAAAAGTTTCAGTAGTAAACAATGGCCCTGTCACAACCTTTTTGAGACRTGTTTCTGCTGTTAAATACAAAGTTACCATTTCCCCAAAATAATACAATTTCTTCAAACATTTGATATATTGTATATTCCATGTGAATGAAGGAATGAGATTTGCAAAACATTGCATTCTGGTTTTATTTACATTTTACACAGCAATTGTTTTTTCAGAACTTGGGTTATATTTCACCATGTTGCAAACAAATGTGTCGAACTGCTAAACACGGATCCCTACAAATTTCTCCCGAGGCTGTTCCACAAACCTAACGAGACAACTCCGACTGGACGGAACATCAGTGTTCATTAACGACCCGGAGCTGATGTCACAGCCGAGCCGAGCTCCGTGTCTATCTGATGGAGGGAGAAACAGGGTGTACCAGTAGATTTACCGTAAAAACGCACGTCTGGATTGTGCGGTTATGTAAGCTGGGGAGTGAGAGCATCCCGTTGGGGATTCTGCCGKATGCCGGAGTGCAGCAGATGTCCAAAGCGGAGCGGAAAGAGCCTAGAGCGGCCTGCTGCACACGTTTACTCACTGATGAGCTGTTAGGTAGACCGGTGCTGGATGTGTGAAACGTACAGATTAACCTCAGTCCTGTGCGTGTGTGTGTGTGTGTGTGTGTGTGTGTGTACTTGTATTTGTTACCTTTTAAGGACCGTTTCTGGATATACACACCTATCTTGTCATGAACAGAATTCCTAATGGGGACCAAAGACTGGTCTAAATATGGTGGAACTTCGTTTTGAGGATGGGGGGGTGG